CTATCCCAAAATTGAAGATCCAAAGCATACAATTCACCCACCATCTGGCCCAAAGTCCAGATTCACAGAACCATCTCTGTGCCTGCTGCCTCTCTCATGGGGACAACCCACTCACATCTTCACCTTCAGCCCTTCCTTCTCCCAGACCAAGACTCTTTGTCTTTAGCTTCCCTAGTTGAGACGTCAGAGAACATTTGTAAACTTTGCTACCCTCCCTGACCTCCTCCATGTCTGTCTTGGTCACTTCCAACTCTGGGTTCCCTGTGGTCGCTCACTGACAGGCACCAAACCACAGCCATCAGGATCCTCTGTGGGAACATCTGTGAGAAACCCGGCTCTCGCCACTGCTCCGTGGCCCTGTGGTCCTCTCCCTTTCAGAGTTTCCACAGCACTCATTTAAAGCCATTCACTTAAGTCTTCAGTTCCACCCACCCTTCTCAGAAGTGGATGTTATGAGAAGACCCAGGGCCGCTGGAATGAAGATCTACTCTCTGCATCAGACAAAATGGTTGTGCTATCACTTCCTCTGAACTGCTCTGCTGTTTCAAATGAACACGTGCTCTCACAGGTACTCCTTCTGTCTCTTTCAGGACCCTGAATTCTGTCTTCCCCATATCTTCACTACCCTTGACTGGAAACAACAACATCTAGACTTTCTTTTCTTTCATGGCCAGACCACTAGAAAGAATAACCTCCACAGGTAAACCTGTACAGCCCCTCTCCCAACCCCAACCTCTTCCTTCTGAAATATTCTTGAGCCCTTCCAACTACCAAGTCCAGTGCCTTTTCTGGGCCCAAATCTTTCTCGGCTCTCCTGAGGCAGGTCAGAGTCAAGGCAATCAAAACTAGCCTTAGTATTCTTCCCTTTCCTCATTCTCACCATGGCTGACTGCTTTCCCATTTCCCCCAGTTAACTCAAAACCTCTGGTTACCACAGGCCCAAATTAGTTAGCAAATCCCCTTCCTGCATCACTGTTATGTCTGCAACAGATAGCTCTTCCCTTTCCACTCCCCTGGAAGGCTGCTCAGGCCCTACGACTTGAGTTAACACTCTGTACCAGTCTGCTAACCACTTTTTCCCTGTCTAAATATCCTTTTGACACTCTGGATTGCCTAGCAAATCAAAGTCAAATATTTTTGTCAGAAAATTAAGAAACTCTAAGAACTGACCATTACCTGTATTTCTAGGCATCACAACTTTCCTCTCTTCCATTTTCATGTCATATATTTCACAACACCTCTGAACTCTGGGGAAGTGCATAGTTTCCAGAACCCACCCTACACCTGCCCCCTCCCCCATCCCTGAATCAAACCAGACTAGCTACCTGTAGTGTTTACACTGTCTTCACTTACTTAAGTTTTATTATTTTTGGCAAGGACATCATTTTTCCCTATCTTCATAGCTGCAAGTTCTTTATTCCTTCTCTCAGCTTCCAGAGCTCAGATATACCCATCTTTTTCTTATTCTAAAGTGCACTTATATTATGTTGCCTATACAGCTGCCTAGTTGTCCCAATTAGATGTCAGGTTTGTGAGAACAGTGATGCTAAGAGCTTCTATAATAACAACCCCCACCATCACCAGCTCCTATCATATTCCAGGTCTGTACAAAACACATAACTTCATCATCTCAGCAGTCCTGTAGAGGCTGTTTCTACTTTCAGATGTGATTATATAACATGCCTATGGCCAACAGCTAGATTGTGGTAGAAGTTGAATTTACACTTGTCTGACTTCCAATACCATGCTCTTAACGACTGTGTGGTATTTCTCACCATCCCTAGGCTCTATCAACACCGCTACATAAAACATCTTCTCCTTATATCCTAGTATGTGGGGTAATTTATTCAGGTTCCCTAGGGTTGCTGAGTCTGCATGATCAATACATGCATTTAAGGGAGAGGAAATGGATTGCTTAGATTAATTCCTAAAGGATGATTCCAAAATGACAACCAAGTTTTCAAAACTCAAGAGTAAACAGAATAGCAAATGCAAAGTGAGAGAAATGGCTAATTCGCCCGGATTACGTAAGACCCTGAGTTTGTCTCTTTCTTTGGAACCTTTAATTTCAATGGCAATAAATCAAGGCCACTCCAAAGCTTTACTTAGGTCATTTAAACCATGTTTAGAGACAATCTCCAAAATTGTCATTTCTGAGGCTTTGCCATCAGCCTGGGCGATCAGGATAATTGGACTCTGCTGACAGCCAGGACCAAAGGAAATGTGTAGTCCTCCTTTTCACAGGAACCGACTAGTCACCCATGGCACATACAGGTATCCATGCAAAGAAGGGTGGTGCTTGTTGCTCACTGTAAGTAAGCAGCTGAGGGCTGTAATCCGCTGAGAGAAATGTCATCATACAGCTCAAATCCCATCACCAACAAACACCGTTACAGCAGAGATGTCTGTATAACAAAAACCCTTTCAAGATTTGGCTGACAGCCCCATGCACTTTGTGAAATATTTGATGTGAGACTTGGAGTTCACAGTAATGGGAATTGACCTATATCTCCAAAGGTAAGATTTGAATGATATCATCTGCAACTCCCATCCATGATACCATGAGTTAGAACGATGTACAATCTATACCCATGAGTATAAAAGCTAAGCACTAAGGCAGAAATAAAAATCAACCCTGCTCTTCAAGGACATACTGCCTTCTTTTACTTGGGGTGCACTCAGGTAAGGGAGGCCTCAGACCAAGGCCTGAAATGGAGCAGACCAACACTGTGTGTGTCCCGTCTCGTTAAGAAGCAGGGTGTTCAACTCTGTGCTGATTATTAGCTGGGTAAACTGGGCTCCATGTCTTAGCTTTTTCTATGCCTCAGTTTCCTCATCTGTCAAGTGTGACTAATCCTCCTGTTAAAATTTCAGTAAAAATTAAACTTACAGTAAGAATGACAATAAGATAACATGTCAAGCTCCTACCATGGAACCTGGTATAGTGCTCCAAAATGGTAAGTCCCTTGTAGGGCTTTTCTTTGCCCTCCCCAACTCTAGGCTAATGTACTATTTTAATGAAGTTACACCTGAGGCTTAGTTAGTGAAGTTAACAAAATGTGTAGTGTCAAAGACAGCCTGGTAAAGACATTGCTTATAAGAACACTGGGGAAAAAAGAGAGAAAATGGCAGAAGAACTAGGCCATGCACAGGTATGTACTTGCCTGAGAGGAAGGGCTTGTGGCTAAGGCAAGATATATGTAATCAAAAGTTAAACTGTAAGTAACTGAGCCTCAGAATAATAAGGGAGCTCTGATCATTACATCAGAAATCATTTTGAATATGCTGAGCAAATTGAAATTTGGAGGCATGTTATCTTAGTCAAGGGTGCTTTGCAGTCACTGCTCTAAAGCATTATTTAGCACAACTGGCCTAGTTTCCTGTGGGTGCCACTCCATATGGTGGGAGAGCCAGTTTCTGCTAACTCCTCAGGTCCAGCCCAACATATTATGTTGTCTTTCCACAGTGGGACATTATGAAGTTTAAGCAGTAACACAAATTCTAGTTTTCTCCATTTGGGAAATATGTAGGTCAATTGTTTAGCAATGTGATCAATGAAAGTTCTCCACATTGCTCTAATTTATGATTATTTCCTACTGATTTTTTAGGTATCTAATTTTGTGTTCATCAAATTAGAAGATAATCAAGTCTGTGGCATCAAAACCCAGTATATGTTCTCTTGAAAATTCTCCTGGTATGACAGACAGACAGACAGAGATAGATGACACGATTATGTTATAACATAATCTGAAAGCTTGTCTGTTTTCTTTATAAAGTAATTATTGGTAGGGTCCTTTATGATCCTTAAAAGGTTCCAAAGAGTGCTATCAGACCTTGGCAACTAGGAGGACAAAAGACAGCTCAACATGTCCCAGAGTCACAGAACACCAATGTCCAATCTTATTATCCATTATTTAGTCCTATCTCTTCACCTTGAAGGCGAGGAAAAGTCTCAGAGACAAAGATGTGTCAATGCTCACATGCTTATCTAAAGTGTACGTACATGCCAAACAATGAGCTTTTGGTGCTCTTATGGGGAGCCAAAGCAAAATAAAAATCACAGGCTGGACAAACACACCAAGGTCCAGAGATAAAGAAGCTGAGAGAGCACCAGCAAGCCAGAAAAGCCCTGGGTAGAAAGACAAGAGATCAAGAGCAGAGAAAAGAACAAAAGTACTAAATAAAGACGCCCTGATCACGTCTGATGAAGGTGAACTCATCGACAGAGATCAAGCGCTTACAAAGGATGATTCCAAAACACAGATGCTTTCATATGGCACAAAGGTCTCGGGTCTCTATTTTCATAACTGCAACCTCCCTCTCCTCTGCCCCCCACCACTTTCTACTGAAAATGGAAGCAGTAAACAGCATGGGTTTGTACACTCCGAAGCACAAGCATTTCTTAAGGTGTGCGAACTATCGCAGGCCACTAGGGTGACATTTCCTCCCCAACTCACCACCCCCCAGGCACACTTCACTTAATGAGCCCCATCTAGACCCCAAGAATTGATGCCCCTCCTAAAAGGGTACCTTTTATTCCCATCTCAGTGGTATCATACTAACTGTTTATAAAAGCATTGCAGTATCCCCACAGGCTACAGAAAAGTGAAATGCAATTCTAATTACATGGGCAAAAACGTAAAAGGCAGGCATCGAGTTAGCGCCTGAAATGCAAGGCTGAGAAACACTGTTCCACAGGGAGACAGGCATTCCACCTAGAAAATCCTGCGCTGCCTAGAAAGTGACCTCAGGAGAACAATCACGCGCCTGGACAGAGGCGCGGCAGGCTGGCTCTCCCGCCCGCGGCTCCTCCCTCCCTCTTCCCAGGCCTCCCGTCCACCTGTCTGGGAAGCTGCTGGGGGCAGGGGAGGAGCTGGGCTTCCGGCTGGGGTACAGGGCCAGCGGGCAGGCTCCCACTAAAAGTCCTCTGCCGCGGGCGGGCGCTAGGCAGCCCGCAATGCCCCATGCCCACCACCCTGCGCGATCCCCGCGGTCCGCACCTTTACTCTGGGGAGGGTTCTGACTCCGGTCCCGGAGGACGTTGATCTGGTAGACGGCTCCGTAAGGCTCAAAAAGTTCTTTCAGCTCCTTTTCCGACCAGGACCGGGGGATCTGTCCGACAAACATCTTAATGGCATCTGGGTCTGGTTGGTCTGAGTGATCCAAAGCGCCGTTCATCTTGTTGGCTGTGCCGTTACTGTCAAAAAGGGAACCGGGAGCCAGAGTTAGCGCTGCACGAAGAGGGACAGGAAGAAAAAAAAAATGGGGAGGGTGGGGACGGGGAGGCGGAAGGAGGAGGAAGAGGAGCACGGGGCAAAGTGCCTAATGAGTCGTGGAAATTTGATGAACTAAAACAAAGCACAGGCACCATTAGGTTGCTTCTCAGAGGCAGTGGCGGCTCTCACTGCAGGCTGCGGTTCAGCACCGCCGCCCCAGCACAGGGCAGCGCCCCGCCGGCTGTCACCCGGGGCGTGGACATCTTGAAACCCCGGCTCTGGAGGCAGCTGCAAGTTAAGTGCAGGTCTTGCTCTGCAAGGCTGCCATCAACACATCCGCAGCGTTATCAACCCCACACTGGCTTTCGTGTGCGAAGAAAGGCAGGGCTGGTTTCTGCTGGCTTTCCCCCTCTCCCACCCCCACCCCTCATGGAGGTTTTTGGAAGAGAGGAGAGAGGTGGTAATAATAAAGTCACATGAAAAGAAAATGAAACACTTGGCAGTTCGTCAGATGACTAATGCAAGATGCTGGTGATGAATTTGCAGAGTGCGCGAGGCATCCATGTGTGCATCAAATTAGTACGTTGTTGCTGCTCAGAATGGAAAGTGCTCGGGCAATGCGGATCGCGCAGCCGGATTGGCTGCCCACCACGGAGAAAAGGGCCAGGGCCGGGAGGGGGCTCCCGTTTAAAAAGCACATTGTTTATGGGACCCAGGCACAAAGGGTTTAATTCAGAGAGGCAAAGGCGATCTCAGAATTGCCTGCTTTGTGCTGGGGGGGGGGGAGGGGGGGATGCAGCCCTAGAAAGTTGAGTTCCTACTAAAGGACACTGAATATTTCAAATCTTTCACACTCCATAAATTGCTCTCTGTATATCTGACTTCCAGATGTTGCACTTGAGTTCTAAACAATCACACGTTTGGGAGAGAAAAGAGGCAAGTCTGCCTTCTCCTAGCTTCAGTAAATATTTGGAGCTGACACAAAGAGCAAGTACATAAGCTTTTACATATCACCCTCCCTTCATGCTGTTTTCCAAAAGCCCCGTTTGGAGGAGAGAATGCTTGTGGAGAGCAAACCTTCCTTCCTAGTTACCAGCTTGTAATACGACCATGAAGGTGTTCACTTTTGACTTGGATACCATCTATTTGAGCTGTGTAAATAGGAAATCAAAAACCACATCCGCTTTTCATTTAACCCCCTTCACCCCCACCCCCAGGTACCCTGAATCCATCCACCTTACTCTGCCAAGTGACAAGGCTGAATGGCCCAAGAAGCATTCATTGCACTATTAAGCTCTTGTTCTTAGCTTCTCAGCCTGTGAAAATAAAATGCACCTAAATAAATACAAACCTGGCTGACAACATCTACTGGCTATGTCTCCTGCCATCCCTCAGCCCCATCCTCAGGCCACAGACAGAAATATCAAGAAGGGACCACAGGGATTATATCTTTGCTACAAATGGCAGGTGTGGCCTTGGAGTTTTAGTAGGAAGGTATTCAGGGATGTTAAGTAGGTTTCCTTATCTGGTTAAACAAACAATCAAAAAGCTACCAGAGCACAAGAAACCTGCTGCAGAACCTACCTAGTTTAGTCCTGAGTCCTTAAAAGGAAAGAGAAGGCAGTGATGGCTAGAAAACAAAGAAACTTATGGAAAGGAGAAATTATGAATTCAATTTAATCCACAGAGGAAAAGGATGGTAAATACTCTCCACTGGGTCCTGGCTTCAATTTCTGCTGCTTCTTATTCCCTATTTTACTGCTTTATTTTTTTATTCTTGAGAAAAACAATCAGATTATCTAACTTGAAGCACTTTGAAAGCTTTCTCTAATCAACCTTATTGTTATAAAAATGTTCTGCTGAATAAAATATTGAGCACAAATTTGTCTTTCAACAATTTAGGTGTAATGTGGTGCTTGTTTGTATTAGTGCTCCTTTGCTTGTCTGGTTCTATGCACCTATACTCCCTTTCAAGTCGTCCTTTGAGAGTCAATAAACACTTTAACCCTGTGGAGCTGACTTTAGCAGATGGAGGTGGTGGAGCCCCATGCAGAAAAGAATGTGGTGTTCACAGCCTGCTGATAGCTGAGAGTGTGGCAGGCCTTTTCTGGGACAGGAAGGACTTGCGGTGACTGCTGACAATCAGCTAGAATTGAAAAGAGGAAGGCATTGCACCAGGTCTCTGAGGCTCACAGAAAACGGAAGTTCAAAAAAAAAAAATGCGTCTACTGCATCATTTCTGAACAGAGCACAGTGAACACAGTGGTGGAGTTATGTGAGGACCTATTAGTCCTAACTTCTACACTTGGCATTCTAGAGCGAATATCCCTTAATGCCTCTCCACCTCCGGGGCCATTTTTTTACTTGCCCTGTTCCCCCACCCCCACCCCAAATACTCGCTGAGGGTACTGAAAGAAGGGAAACAGAAGTGGAAACTGAGAAGAGGGCTTCGATCTTAAACCTCTGGCCTTATGCTGGCGAGTGCGGATTTACAATCCCGCTCCCACAAGTCATCCAGGATGTTTGCAGCCCTCATCGCATTCTGAGGTGGTGGGATGCCAGGACTGAACGCTCTGACACTACACCACATCTTGAGTCCCACGTGTAGTCCAGGACATGGCAGAGTAAGTTTCTACAATCTTAGCCATATTAATGCCTCCAAGGCATCTGAGAAGCACTCAAGTTGAGTGACTGTCACAAGGCTACTTTTCAACCCAATTTTTTTTCATGGTATAGACTCCAATACCATTCACAGCCTAAATTAAAAAATAATGTTTATTTTACTGAGCACTGTGGTAGGTGCTTCACATACATTAGTTTGGGTCAGCACTACTACCCGATACAAAGTATTATTTTTCTAGATGAACATATCTAGTAAATAAATTCCTCTCTTGAGATTGCCAGTTTATAAAATGATAGAAGCAGAATTCAAACGCAGGCCCAGTGGACTCTAAATATTTATAACCTATCATGTGGCCAAATACTGTATGTGATTGGCCTTGGGCTGAGAGAACAGTTCTTTATGTACATATCTACGAATATACACAGTTATGAGGAGGCCTCCTGTGTCCCTGGGTCCCACTGTCAAATCAAAGGCAGCACTGAAAGGAATATTCACCTTTCCTCTTTCTGTTTGAGGGAAAGGAAGAGGCAAAGGGCTCAATTTAATAACCTGTTAATACTACACCCCACCCCACATTTTCTCAGTAATGGTATAAAGGTGTGTCCAACACCATGGCTTTCCTTCCTCTCCACTCACGGCCGCATCCGTGAGAACCTCTCATTCAGTGTAAACTTTCTCAAGTACTTGTCATAGGTAAATGACTGTTACAAACATCTGCATGATGCTATGGACATGAAAATCCCTTACATGCATCTAACAGTGTGTAGTTGTGATACAAATCGTCAACACAAAAGCACAGCTTCCCCCAAAAGCTTCTGAGCAGGGCAGGTGTAAACTGCATTGACAGCCCAAGTTGCTGAAGCCTGTATCGTGTACCTCATGGTATGGCCACAGTCATACGAATGCATGACAGCTGCTCTGGACTTCCAACTTTGCTCCTACCTGATGCTCTTTTTGAGTAGGTAATGGGGCTGCAGGTGCTGACACTTCTAAGGAAACCAGAAGTATGCATCTAACAGTTAAACCTTTCCAGGTACTTGACAGAAACCAGAGAGTGCCACAGTGCTCATCTCAGAGGGGTATTTATGGGTGATTACCCCAAATTTCAGCAAGACCATCAGTAAGATCTTCTATTTGCTAGAATATGATTGTGGGCTCAGAGTTCACTTCAGAGACTAGTTCACTTCTCTGCACTCTCCAGCCATAATCAGCATACACAATGCAGGAATTATATTCAAATGCTAATATTTATGGAGGGCCCACTGTTTGCCAGAAAACTTTGCCAGGAACCTGACGTACATAATCACAACAGCTTCACAACAGTGCTAGGGACTTATGGCCATTTGAGGCTTTAGGCACAAGCACATACATCTCTGCTGGAACCTCACCTACAAATGGCAACAAGCTCCTGAGCGCCAGTTCTGCCTTGACTCTTGACAAAGAGCCAACTTCTAAGACTCCTCCAGGACCGATGCAACGTGAACTTGAACCACAAGTTGGAGAGCACCAAGCCAGCAGACACTGGTGACATCAATCTCTGAGCCAAGATGAAAATACAATGCCATTTGGAGGAAAAAAAAAAGAGTGCTTACTCCTTGCTTTAAGCACAGGCATTGACCTACTTCCCTACTCTATTTTCTAGTATAGAGAACTAGATCAAGACAGGATATGCAAAATCTTCTGAGGCTCCTATGAGCACTATAGTATTATGAAAATTAAGAATTGATTTGATGCATTTGTATTATCATTATTAATTCTAGGACAACAGCTTTTATAAAGCCCAATGAATTGCAGTTTTCTTTTGGAAAATGGAAACAAAGAACAGATATTTTTATTCTTTCATTTTCTTCCTCGGCTATCAACTTTTTGCATTACATTTCCTTTCTATTAAAAGAATGACAGGGCCCTCCCTGGTGGCACAGCAAGTTAAAGCACAGCACTAAGAAGCTAAAGCCACTTCAGCATGAGTTTGATCCCTGCCCCGGGAGGTGACCACATGGCATGGTAGACCTCTCCTGACCCACCTGCTGCTCCTCTCAGCAGTGTACTTTGTTGATCTGCCTGTTCTGCTCCCCACTCTGTCTCCAGTGAAGCTTCTCACTCTGCACTCTGGCCTGTATCCCAGTTCTATATGCATAAATAATTTTTTTTTAAAAAAGAAGGAATGACAGGGCCCTCCCTGGTGGCGCAGCAGGTTAAAGCACAGCGCGAAGAAGCTTAAGCCACTTCTGCAAAAGTTCGATCCCCGCCTGCCCGGGAGGAGATCCACATGGTGAGGCAGACCTCTCCTGACCCACCCGCTGCTCCCTTCAGCAGTGTACTTCGTCAATCTGATTGTTCTGCTCCCCACTCTGTCCC